GACACTGCACGTCCACCGCCGCCATATTCGAAACTTCGAGAATTTCATAACAAGCAGCAACTCGATCGCAGCACTGCACGTCTGCCGCCGCCATATTAGAAATTTCAAGAACTTCTTCCCCGTCCCTTTTCTGCTCACGTTCCGATTTGCCACCAACACAAGCGTCGCTGTCCGCTCTCGAAACTTCTGCAGCTCCAGACGAGGATTCCTCCAAGTTGTGCTTCTCCATATCCAACTTCTCCAGGTTCGGCTTCTCCAGGTTGTCCATAATGGTTTTCGCCGCTATGCGCAGTTGATGGATGGTGGCGTCTTCATGGAAAAACACGTTTTCTCGCTCCAGAAAAGCTTTCAGCTCAGGTATCGTCTTCTTTATTAGGTCACTGTATCTCATAACCACTGAGTTATATTTTATTCGGGCCTTTTACCCCACACCTGATATGTAAACTTTGTATTTTTCGGTCTTTTTTTTATTATTTTTACGTCTCCTCCGCTTGGCGCTCAATCGTAATCCTCTATGGCTAATGATCGCACACTCCTCCATCATACTCAGTCGATCAACATTCTTATCGATATTTTACATTCATGTCTTAGTGTTACATTATCTAACTTATACAATATTTACTCTATTTACAGTAAGAAACACTGTTTTCGCCGAAGACAATGCGGAAATTTTCAACAAATAAATTTAACATTTGTTGAGCAACCTCAACATTATTTTCCCGCTGTTTTTGCGAGCAGAGCAGTCTATATGCGCAATGCAATGGCAAAAAAATATACTACTGCTCTTCATGGATTGTATCTTTAAAAACTACAATTCCAGTATATAATAAAAATTGGCGAAATTCAGTGCTTTTCCAATTTGAAAGTTCTAACAATGTTCTAGGCTTTCGTGAGAATTTCCTAGGTACATATGTAGCCCCGCATTGACGTTAATGTCTCAGACATCTTCATTTTATTTTCTTTAGACATTTTTTTATTACTTTATTATAATAAATTGTTTCAAAAAATTTACGCATTACACCAAATTCAATGAGGTGCATGCAATCCAAGGGAATTTGGGTAACCATACCGATGCCAAGTTTTTCGAAAGCGAACTGAGAGCCTAAGTAATCTTTCTGGTGATGATTTGGATATTTCCTACCTGCAAAGTCAACATCTGTAATTAAATCAGCACAAGAAGTGCTGTATGTTAGAGTTCCATCTATTTTGCGTCCCACCTGAGTGCATTTGGTACAGCCATAACTGGATGTATGTCCAGGTGTGCCTGTAACAAATGCCCTTGCAGGAGTGTCGCACACAAGAGCTCTAAGGAAAATTTTAAAATTTTTATTTAAAATGGTTAGATCATTTTTCATCAAATCGGACAACTCCCTAGTGAATCTGGACAAATACTCATCTGAATTGGATGGCTTAATTTGACCCAAAAAAAACTCCTACGGGAAAAACCGGACATTTACTAATATTATTTATTCTAATAAGTATGGACCACAACTGTGAACGTGAGCTTTTAAATAATGGAAGGCCGTCAACATTAACGTCAATACTTAAAACATCTGGTAGTTCTGGAACTACATAAAGTTTATTTAATTGTTTTGAAAGGCGAATATGCAAATAGGAACCACCTCCAACTTGCATAATATTTGGCTTTTCATTGCAATTAAATTTATAAAAAGGCCTAATGTTTGTAGATCAAAAACACGTCTGGTTCGTTTTACGATATCTTTAATAATGCTCTTCTGTTTGTGTGGCATGAGCTTGTCCGCTCTGCAGTCAGCTCACACACACATATTGCACATTTATCGATAACTTCAATACTCAATAATATAACTTACATACTACTTATATCTACTTATATACAACAATTCGGCCGTCCTGACAAAAAGGATCACCCGATTCTTTCGTAAAGTTTCAAATTTTAGTTGAACTTCTAAGCTTATATCTTTTTTTACAATTATTATTGAAGTTTACATCTGTGTGTTTACTTTTAGGTTTCTTAATATTATTCTTATCATTATTAATCAAACCATCATTTAGTCTATTATTATCATTGTTTAAGTTTTCTGAATTTGAACATAAATTTTTTGTATCATTATTATCTAAATTTTCATCAGTTTCTAAAGTATTATTAGTTTCTTCTAAAACATAAGAGCATACATTTTCTAAATTATTTTTATTAAACCACGGCTTGATGTTTTGTACAGACCAAATGCCTTTGTACGGTATCTGTGTTTGTTGGAATCCGTCAACATCTATTAACAGAAAACGATCATTCTCTAATATTTTTGATATTTTATATGGACCCTTAAACTTCGGTATTAATTTGCGTGGTACACCTATGCTACAATCATAATTTTTTATTACTACGTAGTCACCTAATTTGTATTTTATTGGATTTTTCCTGCGTGAATTAACATATTTTTTATTGTATTCTTGAGCTAACTTTTCATTTTCATGTGCTTTATCTCTGATTTCTAATAAGTTTCTACTAATATTTTCAGGTTCCATAATTGTTTCTTTAATGCTATCCATAACTTTACCTTCTTGACTGATACCAAATAACATAACGCTAGGGTGTTCGTTTATCATTCTGTGTTTTGTATTATTAAGAGAAAATTCCACAGTTTCAATGACTTTGTCCCAACTAATATTTTTGTCAAAGTCACTAAGTTTGGCAATCATTGGGCCCAAATTCCTATTCACTCTTTCTACTTGAATGTGTTGAATGTCATTTTCTTTTAAAAACTGTTCGAACTCACCTGAAGTAAAAGCTGTTCCTCTGTCTGAAACAATAATCTTTGGTCTGCTATAATAACGGAAATATTCTCCTAACGCGGTAATAACTTCTTTAGTAGCTGTAGTTTTCGTCGGATATAATTTAACATATTTAGAACATGCATCTATAACAACTAGTAAATGTTTTTTAGAAGAATTTCGATCAACAGGGCCATAATGGTCAATATGCAGCATTTCAAACGGAATTTTTGCTTTAGGAATATTGTGCAGGAAACCTTCAACTTTACCATTTTTACACGAAAATGCGATGCACTTAAAACAGTTCTTAATGTGTTCATCAATTTTAGCATTCATTTTTGGGAACCAGTAATTTTTTCGAATTAATTCACTAACTTTATTTATACCTATGTGACCCATTTCATCATGATATTTATATAAAATGTGACTTTCCATTGCTTCGGGTACGACAAATAAAACTAAATTCGGCTTTAACTTTTTATACAAAACACCATTTCTCATTTCATAAAATTTACTTTCCGTTGTCTGTAATTCTTCTTTAATTCTTAAAAGTTTTGGATCTCTATTTTGACATATGACTAAGTTTTCTTCAAAGGTGTTAGTCTCTACCATCATAATTGTATGGTTTCTGCTTAATGCATCAACATGTAGCATGCGTTTGCCTAATCTATGTTCAGTCTCATAATCAAAATTTTGCATTTCCAATGCCCATCTTGCTATTCTAGGGTTAAGTTCTTTTTTATTTAACGTAAGTGTTAGTGAATTGCAATCTGTAATTATTTTAAATTTTCGTCCGTAAAGGTAAACTCGAAAACGTCTTAAAGCGTAAATTATTGCTAAAGTCTCTAATTCAAAACTATGAAATTTTGATTCTGCTGCATCACAGTGTATTTCCGTTTCTGCCGCTGGATTAAATAATGCTAATACTGGCGATTCTAATAATTTTTCTTTTAACAGCTCAAATGTTTCTAATTCTTCTTGGCCAAACATAAATTTTTTATCTTTTTTCGTAAGATCATAAAGAGGTTTAGCAATGATTGAAAAATCCTTAAAGTATGAGCATAGTCCCAAAAAACTTTGTACTGCAGTTACTTTTTCCGGTATCGGAAAATCTCGAATAGCTTCTAGTCCTGTTTCATCTTCCCGAATTCCTTGTTCATCAATTGTATATCCTAAATATTTAACAGAACTTTTCATAAACTCGCACTTGTCTAGCCGTAACTCTAACTTGTTTTCTACAACTCGCTTCAAAACTTCTTCTAAAATCTCTAAATGTTCTCTAATACTTTCTGTTGCAATCATAATATCGTCTAAATAAATAATAACTTTACCTTGTCTAACTAAGTCAGCAAAAACTTTGTTTATAAACATCTGAAAAATTGATGGAGCATTTTTGAGACCAAAAGGCATTCTTAAAAACTCGAACTGACCTAAAGGTGTAATGAATGAAGTATATTTTATTGACTCTTCATTCATAAACACGTGAAAAAATCCATTTTTTAGATCTAATTTTGAAAACAACTTTTTATTTAGTAAACTTTCTAAAAGATCATCAATCAAAGGGATTGGATAATTATGTTTAGCAGTATTTTTGTTTAGGTTTCGAAAATCGACACACATCCGTAGTTCACCTGTCTTTTTACGCACTAAAACAATAGGGGATGCATACTCAGACTCACTAGCTCTAATAATTTCTTTTGATAAATATTCATCTAATGTTTTTTGTAATTCCTGTTTTTCCATATGTGATAACCTACGAGGGGGGCAATTAAATGGTTTGCTATCATTTACGACAAGTTTCATCTCTGTACGAACATTTGGTGTATCAGGTCGTTTTGAGTTAACATATGTTTTCTTAAACATTTCTACTAATTTACTCCTAATCTTATAATCAATGTTTTCACCAATGTTCAAATGTAATTCAGTTTCTTCTACGTTTATATTTAAAATTTGTTCTTCAAAATTTTCTTCACAAAAATTGCAGTCATTTTTAAGCTTCAAGTTATTTTTTATAATTTCTTTTGAATTATTATGGTTTTCAATTGTACTATTGTTTTTTGTCTCAAGCCATATGATTTTACTATTGCTCTTAGCCAAAAAATCGCGTCCTAAAATTGCATTGTGTTTCATTGATTCATTAGCAACCACACACATTTCAATTTCAATCTTTGTGTTTATTATTTCAACATAATATAATAGTTTTCCAAATACATTTAATTTTGTTTCATTTAAACCAAAAAATAAATTTTCATTACTTATTAAATCAACTCCTTTAGGTAGCATTCGTTGCTGCATAAAACTAATGGGGCTGCCGGAATCAATCAAACATTCTAAAATAAAATTTTGGTTATTTCTCTGGCTTAAATAAAACTTAAATAATCTTACATAATCATTTTGCGTTGGGGTCTTCTTCTTCTTATTCATCGGGCAATCATTAATAGTATGGGACTCGCTTCCACAGGCATAACACGATCCAGGCTTACGTTTCGGTTTGTTGCAGTCAGCCGCATAATGACCTACACTGTTGCAGTTGTAACAGCGTTCTCCCTTTTTGTAGTCATCTCTTTTTTCTTTCATAGCGTTGTTCGGGGCAGCCTCTAAATTTCGACTTGCCGGCATCTTGAGCTCCACATCAGCTAATGTTCGAAGTAAATTCTCTTTGTCATCTATTTTTTGCATAATCACTTGATTTTTTATTTGACGATTAGGTATACCATCAATTATATATTCAATAAGTTCATCTTCATCAATCGTTAATTTATTGGCCAAAACTAATTTTTCGTTAAAATATAAACCAAAAGGTTCTCCAGGTTGCCACTTTCGTTGTTCAAAATTTTTCCGGATGCGTAATTTATTTTCTTTAAACTCAAAAGTTATCTTAAATTGTTGCCATAAGTCGTCTATATTTTCGCAAATCCAATTCGGTCGCGCATGTAACCAGCGGTGTGCTTCACCAGTAAGTTTACTATTTAATATTCCACGCATCATAATATCGTTAAGACGGTAAGTTTTCTTAATATTTTCTAATTGTGTGATCCATAAATTCGCATTCGTTAAACCATCGTAAACAGATACAAAATCTTTTATAATCAGAAATGAATTTTGTCCATCTCTATTCTCGTCATTTTGCGCATCACTGGCTGCGTCGTTTTTGTCAACAGAATTTAATTTCATCATTTCCAACTGTTTCTTTAGGTTTTCGTTTTCTGCTTTCAGTATGTTTAGTTCGTTTTCTTCTTCACGCATTTTTTCTATTTCGCTTTTCTGCTCAACCATAACTGTATTGTCTTCGTCGTCTCCTTCGGCGATGGCGCCAGCTTCTAGAACTTCGGCTGCATTTTCGGCGTCGTTGTAGTTTTGTAGCGTCTGAATTTCACAAATTTGTAGCTTTTTAATTTTATCATTATTTTTTTCTTGTGGAGTTTTTGTAATAATATTGGCATTTTGTTTATTTTCAAGTTTTTTTGAAGTGTTATTTTTTAGTTGGCTTAACGATTTTTGTAATTCACTTGAACTTTTTTCTAATAATCTTGATTTCAGAGTAGCTTTGTTGCCCGAACTTGGCACGTCTAATTTTTGGCATAATGTTTTTATCTCGGCTAAACTCAAATTTTCAATAATTTTGTCCATAATGTCGTTTTTGATCTTTTAAATTGTTTGTCAGGAATATGCGAGTAAGTAAAAAAAATTACTCTTGTTTAGGCACAGTTAATCCCACTTCTGAGATTGTAGATCAAAAACACGTCTGGTTCGTTTTACGATATCTTTAATAATGCTCTTCTGTTTGTGTGGCATGAGCTTGTCCGCTCTGCAGTCAGCTCACACACACATATTGCACATTTATCGATAACTTCAATACTCAATAATATAACTTACATACTACTTATATCTACTTATATACTACATGTTTAAATTTTCTTCATTTAAAATTTGAATTAATTCGATAACACAGCTACGCTTGGGCTTGTGTTTTACAAACCACTTCCCAAGCTTATAATTAAGATCCTGCTGATTCTACTCTACTTCCATGCTTGCTTCCTGACTTGATTCTTTATTTAAACTATCTACCTCTACATCTTCCTGCAAAAAATGATAATTAACCTGAGCGGTTACTTCAATATTTTCTTCTATCGGACTTTCTTCTGCTAATCTTAGCCTTTTAGCTAATTGGTCTTTTTCCTTTTTAACTAGGTTACGAATCTGACGAGGTCCTATCATTTTTATTTTACTTCTAAAAAATATACAACAAAAAACAACCGCTGGAAATTGAAAACAAATTTTTTAATTATATAATTTAACGTTTTCGAGATATCGAGATATTAAGGCAAATGCTCACCTTGTGGAGGAAAATCGCTTTTTCATTTTCAGATCAAAATTGGAAAAATTACAAGATTTTTTTTTAAATGTTCCTAATTGTTTCCTTTAACTAATGAACTAGGATTATCCAAAAATTTCGCTGACATGCCACCACTGAGGAACGCCCCCTCGCGCCCCTTTTTGGATTTTTTCAATTTCGCAAAATTAATGTGCTTTCAAATACAGTAAAAAATTTCAGCTATTTATCTTTAATCGTTTTCTTAAAAAATTTTATTTAAACAAGAAAGGAAGCGGCAAGCCGAAGCTTATATACCCTTGCAGTCACCAAATATGTCGAACGAATTGCATAAAGGCTAAACAACATCGAAGCTATGTCGATTTTTCTATTAGGTTTCCATATTTTCGACGATTTTTTATATGACAGCTATATGATATAGTCGATTTTTATGAAATTTAATTATTTAGTATACACTGACGAGCAAAACTGTAACACGATTTCATTGTTTTAACTTCAAAAGTTTGTAACTTTTTTTCTAATGCACGCATTTTGATGATTTTAGTATTGTTTTGTAGGTTATATCATCTACTATTATTCAGTAAAATTATAAGCCATTTGATATCAGTTAAGGAAAATAACACGCAAAACTGTAAAAAAGTCAAATGTTACAGTTTTGCACTCTGGTTATTTTTTTAACAAATATTTTTATTAATAATTTTTCAATAATGAGTCCACATCCCCTTGGATTTTTCCAGCTCTTGTATGCGATTGGGCATACTTTGGGTATATCGTTTCACCATTTCCGGGGGAATAGCATTCCATACGTCCTATGTCCGATCCCACAACTCCTTCATTCCATTTGGTGGAACTGCATATTTGGCCAGCTGCGATTTCACATGACTCCACAAGTTTTCTATTGGATTCATGTCGGGAGATTGTGGTGGCCACTTCATGGATTGAAACTTCTGTTTCGAAATCCAATATTTCACTATAATGGATGTGTGCTTCGGGGCATTCAAATTGAGCATTGAAGCCGCTTTTATTGGTGTGATATCAGGATTGCTTGTTACCAAGTTAGCGACGTGGCGTGTGTCACGTTCACTCAAAACTCTTGGTCGACATCCTGGATTTATTGAAATGTTTCCCAAACTGTGTTTTTTGAGTCGCTGCACAGTCATATGGCTAACACCGAATTTGTTAGCCACTTTTCGGACAGATTCACCAGCTTCCAGTAAATCAAGAATGTTCTTCTTTTTTGCACTATCCATAACCAACTCAATAACCATGTGGCTTTAGAATATCATAATAAATAAACTTTAATGGTTAACTAAGCTTAAAATATCTAAATAAATTAACTAAGCTTAAAAACTAAAAAGCAAAGCTTTGCCATCGTGAGTGCAAAACTGTAACATTTGACTTTTTTTACAGTTTTGCGTGTCATTTTCTTTAACTGATATCAAATGGCTTATAATTTTACTGAATAATAGTAGATGATATAACCTACAAAACAAGAAGATCTTCAAAATGCGTGCATTAGAAAAAAAGTTACAGACCTTTGAAGTTGAAACAATGAAATCGCGTTACAGTTTTGCTCGTCAGTGAATATATTGTAACTATAGTATATACATATATTGCTTACTTTAAGGCGAAATGATATTTGGTAATTGCTTTTGTGTTCAATGTCTAAAAACAATATTAAAATAATTCCTCAATAATGACAAGATAGCTTACAAATCTGACAAAGTATCGGTACAAAAGTTTACATAATTTTTTCCAAGTTGGCATATCCGTCACTATATCTGTTAGTCCGAATTCTAAACTGAACAGTGGAACTTGATCGACTTATTCCAGGGCTGCAGCAATGGAATATATTACTTTTGCTCGTTCAGTAGATTAGTTTCCATAGATGGCGCTGAAGGAAGCAAATACCAGTTGAAGAGAACAAAATCTGAATTGTTTAAAAATATGAAACATCTTTTAGTACGTCATACTTAATGCTTAAAATATGTAATAATATGCAATATTATAATGTTTTTTCGAAAACATTATTAACTTTTCTTTCAAAATATACCAAAAACCTAGTTATTATTATTTTAAAGATATTGTTCTAAAACGCTTACTACTAACTTATATATAGGTAGATTTTGCACAGTTTTGTAATCTTATTTTTGCATTTTAAACTGTTACGAAAGGGACATCTGCCGGCGTGCTTCTGTTCCCAATTTCCAAATCGTACCTTATAAAAGTTCCGTAAGTAGAACAATTTTATCCGGAACTAGTGTTTTGGTTGAGACACAAGTTCTCGGATAAAAAGTCCTCCCATTCTTAAAGCTCAGCTCCTCAGAGTTGTACATCACTTGATACTAAATTTCCAAAAGCATTTTACGCCATTTAGCTGTGAACAATAATTTTGGGTTTCCCATATTTGGTATATTTTGTAGGGAACTCCTTTTCATTCATTACGGTAGTTGACTTAAATATGTTATAAATTGTTAATGTTAGCTCTTCAAGACAGAGACTATTTTAAGTGTTAGCAATTTATTTTTTAAGTATTTTAATGTCCAGTTTTTGTCTTATTAAGTCCCAGCAAAAAAAAACTTCTATAAATTTATAAGAAATGACACTTTTTCAGACCGTAAATAGACAAATACTAAAACGAACTTTTTCGAAGGACAGCGATTTAGTAAAACTAATTACAGAATTAGAAATTTTCAAAATAAAAGATTCCACGGCTTCTCTAACGGCTTTTCTAAAACAATATTTCAATATATTTATTTTTGTATTTTATACAAATTTAAAATCGAACTGTGTCATTGTTACTGGGTGCGGTAAAGAAATAATTGTTGTCTACAACTTGACAAGGAATACATCCTGTGCATTTACAAACCAATAAAATCAAGCAAATTTGTCGCGTAACGTCTTTTGCAGAAAACGCTGATTTTTCATCTACTTACAATATTATTAGCACTTATGCAGTGTAGAAACAGTGAGTTAAATTTATAAATAAACTTTATGAATAATATTTTGTGATACATTTTAAAGGCGTCCTGTATTAATCCGTTACTCGAAGTAAGTAATATAACTGTTATCTTTTTGTTTATTTACAATTTTTAGGCTAATTGGCTTGAGGATTAGGTAGTTTTATTATTTGTAAATAACATGTTGAATTTCAACTTGCCACTCGTCATTTAACAATTCAATAAATAATTTTTCATAAAATAAAAATATTTGATAAATTCGCTTTTCTAAATTTTAAGTTCTGAAACAAAATTTAATTAACTTTTAATATTTTAATGACAATTAAATTCCTAGCATATTTTCCTTTTTCCCTTACTTTAGGTCTCGGAAATCTAAAGTTGCAGAATTGTATAAATATAGACAAGACTGATAAATTTGTTCGCCAAAGAAGTTTCACCTTTGACATGTGTACTTTGTACGCAAGCTCTTTTTTGTTAATAAGCACATAACACTTATTTATTTATTTATAAAAGATGATGAAGATAATGATGATGATGAAGACTAACATAAGGGGTTGTAGTGCTAGCTGCGGGGCCTTCGACTACGTGTTTTAATAAGTGAACTTAATTTAGCAATACTTTAAATTTTGATTTTAGATTAGATTATATAAGTTTGTATTTTGTAGGAAATTTATGACCGTTTTTATATTTTCTGTTGTTGGGTGCTTGAGGTAGTCTGTGGCTTTGAGATTTTTAAAAAGAAGTTGCTTGTCCTGGGTTATTGCTGGGCATGTGTCTAGGATGTGTAGTAGGATGTTTACCTACAATACCCACTGTACCATAGAATAAGAATTAGAGATAGAGCCAAAGATGTATAGTCATCTCCCTCGTTCTCATAACATAGAATAGAATAACTTTAAGTTTAAGATCATTGTATTGCGAGCTCGCTCACGCGGCTGAACGAGGAGAAGAAGGAAGAGAGAGAAAGGCACTCAGTGCCTGGCGATTGAAAGGAGCGATTGGTTATAGAATATAATAAAGTTATTGAAATTAAAGCACAACCTGGACATTATTTAACTACTACAGATGTGTTCTATGTTAACTGGAGTTGATTGGCAGACAGGGCAGTTGCGTGAGGTGAGTGGATCGAGAAGCTGTTTGTGTGTTATGTTTGAATGTCCAAGGCTGAGTCTAATGAATTTAACTTGGTCAATTTTGCTGGTTTCTTCTTGAATTAAGTTAGAAAGTGTTGATGTTGTTGTTTGTGTTAATGTTTTTGTACCATGTGTTGCATTTACTTATTAAGTTTTCATTTTCTTGATTTATGTTTGTTTATGTCTTTTATATTTTCGTTTTGCGTAAATATAAGTGGCATTTTTGTTGCTTCTTTTGCCGTTTTATCTGCGAGTTCGTTTCCTTTAATGTTGGAGTGTCCTGGGGTTCATAAGATTTTAATTTTAGGTTGTTTTCGTTGTAT